ATCCATGGATACTTACATAACATTTACATCAAATTTACACACCTTTTACATACAAATTGGCTACACATATCAGTTATTTTGGCCCTGGTACTATAGCCAAAACAGTCATATTACAGTATTATGGGACTATCCGCGCACACGTTCCAGGGGGCGGACACACTCTCCCTCATAACCACTCACTGTAAAGCGAGCATTTCATCATGCAATACTAGTCATAGAGAGCAGAGAGAGGTAAAAGACAACAGTCTTCTAATCGTTTTTCATGAAATATTTTGAGATCGTATTGATGTTGACTCATCAGAAGTGTCTTTATAATTGGCATACAAGCAAGGAGATCGAATGTTTCTTTTTTAAAGTCAATTAATCTAGGACAAAATGACAGTTCAGCTATCTTAGACTATTCTATCATAGTGAATTTCGTGCTTGTAAAATAGCTTCTCCGAATCCGTGCTTTGCACCTCTGTCATGGAAAATTACCATCGCAAATGCTGCTATGAGGTGTTAAAAACACTCTACATGTAATTGAATGGTGGTAAATATTGGAATGACTTCTTCAGGAACACTATCAGAGTTCTACTAATTGCCTGACGGGAAACGAGTATAATTTTCCACATGTTTAGGGAAAACCCAGCTAACCGTAATCGCTCCAGATGGATTTTGTATTAATTATTTTTACTTTTCCCTTGCACTAAAAATACAAAGAGATGTTGTGATTAATTTTCTTGATGATACTTGTTTTATTCACACGGAAAAGAGGATTGAGACTCTTCTTGTTTTTAAGTCAAATCATGACAAAAAGGCCACTTAAGTTTTTTATTGTGGTAGAGGAAGATTATTTGATGAAGMTGGCATAATAATATGGTTTATCGGGCGTTTTACTCTTCTCCAGCAAGATCTGGCAATGTCTTTAGTTGCAGCTCGGAGCTCACCATATCTCATACAAATTATTAAAGGATTGACGAAGGAGTTGAKATATGTGAAGCAAATGCTAACACTCCAAAGTCCAATGCTCCATACCGAGACTCCATAAGAGGCAAGAACAATCATGCTAACCAAATAAGGTGTTAAGAAAGYWAACTGACAACAAATAACGTACAAAAGGTTAAACRCGGACTTTCTATAACGCGTCATGCTATTCGTCATAGTAAGGGTCGTGGTGTTGACTGCTTGGCTTGTAATCTGACTATGATGACGGCGGATGATAGTGAAGATTTGCGAGTAAGAAAACACAATGATGAAGAAGAAAAGGACTATTAGTATCGATGCAGAAATATAGTATGTATTCCCTCCTAACAGTAAAAAGGGAATCTGAATTAAAGATGTAAACCAATAGAAAACGCATGCGATGATGACCCTTCCATTGGTGACAAGCACTGGATAGCGTAGATGGAGAATCAACGCAAGGTACCGATCCAACGTCGCAAATGCCAGAGTCAAGTAACTACCGGCGGTAAAGAAGGAACCGATCGAGTAATTGACAAACGCTATKTTGCATACTATATCATAGTCATGATGGTACAATTCTAACAACTTCCAAGCTGCTCCAAAAGGAACACTAATAACCATAAGTCCCAAGTTGGCTGCTGCAAGATTACAAGTCAAGATATTGGAAGGGGTCTGAAGAGTCGGCGTAAGAACAACGGCGGCGAAAATCAACGCGTTTAGGACCACCGTTGGTAATACAAAAAGGCAAACTATMACCACCATCACGATTGTGAAAGGGTACACGTCGTCTGCGAGAAAATACCATTCTGTAAACTGCTTGCATTCGTAGTTCGACATTAGCGTTTGACTCAATCGGCAAAATAGTGAAAAGGCTCAGTTCTATTTCGTCTGTACAAGAGATGCGCTTTGAAGTGCTTCATGTCAMATTTCTCCTAACAATTACCTCTTATTGGTCATGCGACTGTTTAATGAGGATTGCCTGATGTCTATTGGTCTTCCCAATCTTTTTCGAAAATTTCTCCCTATTTGTATTCAAATTGCAGTGTCATTTTTTAGTTTTTCATTTACAACAGGTGCTTCTACGACTTGCTTAGTGTTACCTTCGATTACCATGCTTGTTGTTAGTTCAGTTGAAGGAGAGAATGATTTTTGATAAGTTTTAGACTTGAAATGTGGTAAAAAGCAAATTGCACACGGCATTTGTCCTCTTATTAACACACTCTTGACATCATAAAATATTCAAAACTTTGCAGTGAATACACTTGCTGCGCTCGTGGGTCCACTTGAGTTTTGAACATTTAATGATCACGTCAAGAGTGTGTCAATAAGAGGATATACAACTCAATACCGAGCGCAAATTGTTCATTATTTATCGGCGAATAATCACTAAAAAGCCTGAACGAATATTGTTTTTAGTATAAATATACAAGTGATTATGTCGAAAACCAAAAATCAAAATATGATATTTTTTCCGGAAACGTTTCCCAACCTATTCAAGACGCATTCAAACATTAATGTGTCATCTCTGTTGAGTTGAAAAAGCAGGTTTGATGTATTGCTAGCTATTCTGAAACAGC